ACGGCGAGAGGAAGGCCCTCTGGGACAGCCACAACCAGCACAGTGACGCCGATAATTACGAAGTGAATGAACTGCTTGAGATGAACTTGAGTATTCCAGGGTTCGCCTCGAATGTAATAAGTCTCCACAGCAAATTTAATGAAGAGGATTAGGACTGTCAGGACAGCAATGACAGTGCCTGAAAAAAAAACCAAGGAGAGCAGAGTAGACAAAAAATGATGACGATAGGCCAGAAACAGGGGATGGTTTACCATTAACAGCGAGCCTACGGGGATGGGGTGCAGATTTCAGGCTGTTAGAAAGACAGTGTGAACTCACCAACTTGACCAATAGCGCCCGCCAAGTAGTTCAACTTTGCCTGTAGAACGGAGGACTTCTTCTTGGGGCGTTTCTTCTTTTTGGGAGCCTCGGCAGTCGGCATGACAACAGCCGTGGCATGATCCATATCCCCGCCAGCGCTCTTTCCGTTACCAGGAGAGGTTGCATTCGAGAGGCCGTCTCTATTGAAGCCCGCGTGATCGCCAGTTGGGTGATCCGGCAGCCGACTCATTTCTACATCTTGGAAATCGAACGGTATTGCAAAGGGAAGCATTAAGTAGGCATGGCCGTAGGAGGCGTAGGTGAGCACCTAGAGACACATACAAACATAAAAGTCAAAAAGGTTTTAGAGAATCCCTCATGTTAAGGAATTTAACTTTTTTGTGCTGCGAGAATAGGGGCTGCTGAAGATGCGAACAGGCATTGGAAGAGTCCTTTGGCGATTCATGAAAGGCTGGAATACGCAACGGTGCTTCAGACTTTGAGCAAAAAGGGGAAGGACTAGACGTCTTCCGTCCAGTTTGAAGGTGATCTACCACAGCTTCCGCTATTTGGGATCGAATATATTAGCCAACAGACAGGCCAAAGAATAAATTAGGAACCGCATCGCGCAAGCTGGAAATACATTTAGACTGCTAGCCAGACCACACTGTTGTCGCTCAGACATCAGCTTACGTACTAAACTGTAAATATACAGAGCCTCCATCAGACCGGTGTTAGTATACTCATGCGAAACATGGCAGTCATAAAGGCAGATATTTTATCACTCGGATTCTTTGACCGTTGTTGTCTTCGACGCCTCTCTACAGATTAGTCGTGAACCTGCCTTGTAGCGCAAGGTGGAGATACCAACATGACGGTTAATTGAAGACATGGCTCAACACCTTCAAGTCAGACGTCGAACGCATGAGCCTCGTAACCTTTTACGGCTCTCGACAGTGGAACGAGCACTGGGTTGACATCTGCGAGGAGCTTGTTTCCGATCGCCGCCAATAGGTCGCCACTATCCGTTAAGCCAGAAGCTAATCGGATCAACCAAAAACCAACCAACAGCTACTAGGAATAAATTAATAAGTTGCTACCAACAAAACCTAAATAGTCTATGTCGGGGTATCAGACAAGTGCGTGTTATCATGGGTTAATGCTGATGGATCCGTACTTACCGGATTAACACAGCATGAATGACCGCTCTCTCTCTATGACATTCGGCAGGCGGCAGGTTGACCGGTCAGTCAAAAAAGACGACAAGTGCATCTGGACTGCCACCCGTCCACCCAGTTGGCAGCCTAGCAGTCAAACACGGATTCTGACAGACGACAGCCAAGAAGATTACTTTGTTCTCAATTCGGCGCACGATGTCTTATTCGTCAAACGAGTTCAACAGAGCTACGAATAACATGCTAAAACATGGTCAAAAGACTGATAAAACTGGTACGCAATTGCACTAAGGGCACATTTGTACTCATAAAAGAGTACGGGAATGTGTTGCCTCTACCGGAAGAGGGACGCAATGCGGCCTAAG